TTGTTTGGAATTGGTTCCGTCTTACATGATTACCGGTATGTTCTGCAAATAAGCACATGAATTCATCATACTTGTATCTGCAAAGTCTCTCCCCACAGGGATTGAGGAGTTATCGCTCTAGCAATGTTAATACAGTTCTGTGATTTGAACCCAGATACAAACTTTGTGGCCAGAACTTTGTCAACAAGTCATTACAAATTTCAGGATGCTGTAGGCCGAAATAAAGCCATGAATGCCTCAATATTTGTCAGCAAAGTTTTTCTTACAACTTTATAACAGAATGTCTATTTGTTTTCCAGGTTCATGATTTGCCCCCTGAAAAGTTAGCAAAACGAGATGTAGTACATATTGATATAGCACACGACAAAATCAAAGACAGCGTAAGTAATTTCCTCCCATGTGACTTAATGAAAATAATTGACATGACAATGGATATAATAAAAAGAAGAAGTTTTTTCTGTCACAGCACTTTGAAGGTTTGATGCGAGGTTTATGTATAACGTCATTAACTTTTGATTCCTCCAAGAGCGCTGTATCAGGAATATACTTTTGTTGCATCATAAGTGCAGTTCAGGGGTACCATTTATACCTCATCTGCCACTTATTCAGGGATTTCATTTACCTCAGTAATTCATTTAAAACATTTTATTAAACTTGATTAGTGGGGCATTAACCCTCTTCCACTCCTAACAGTCGCAGAAAGTCAAGACTTCCATTCACTATCCCCTGGTACACTTTATACTCCGGCTTGTCACCAACAGAGAGATAATGATTCTGACTGGACTGTGATCAGTCAGATTGCAGACTACAGACAAAATCAGGGGATTAGTGGAAATGCTGGCTCACCAGTCCGTGACAGTCAAAGTACAGTTATATCGAGGTGAAGGAACATTCATAGCCAGTCAGTTCACCTTTGTGTAGGCAGGGGGGTTCTGTTAAACTGTTAAAAACAGTCACTTGACTGATTTTGAGTGAGAGGACGACCGTATCCCCAAATAGATGTTTGCCCAGGACGGTTATGACCAATTAGATACATTCAAAATCATCACAGATACATGCAAAAGACCAGAGACTTTTAGAGTCCATCACTGGAGTTGCACAGCACTGCATGCAGTAGTTGAAGAGGAAGTACATGTATGTTCTTTGTGACTGTTCACATGTAATACATTATGTATTGCCTATGCACAGGACTACAAGGCAGACCAAGATCCAAAACTAGTGGTTTCTCGGAAGCTCCAGCGAGGCCCGCTCAAAGACCCCAACTGGAAAGTGAGTACCCTTCAGTACTTTATCTAGCCACCCATCCACCTTGTTCCCAGGACTGGCAGAACCACTTTTGGACAGCCAGATTTTGCTTGTTCAAAATGTACAACCCCCCTTTTCTTACATAAATCTTTAACACTGGCAAACAAATCTTCTCATTTCCTTCACTAAAATTAGGTACCCTAGAAATGTGGCCTAAAAAAGCACCCACCATAGGGGTTAGTTTGATAAAGCAGCTGTTGACCCTGGCTGGGGAAGTACTCCCTTCCCTTCTTTTCAAAAGTGTGAAAGAAGCTCCAACCTTAGCCTCACTCTTTAGCCTCAGACAGGCCGTGAAAGGTTACATAAAGAAATTTCCTCAGTTTCTGGACCTCAAAAACCAATTTGATCTTCTTCCCAAAAAAAGAAAATAAGTTTTTCCTCCACTCTTCCCCAGGGCAACATCTGTAGAACAAGAGTGTAAGAAAACAAATCATTAGATTGGAAGACATTTTCCTGTAATATTTGAGAGTTTTCTTTCTCTTCAGTTTAATAATTTCCTATCATTTCCTTTATTGTCAACATTCTGTACTTTAGTCATTGTACTTGGTGGATCCTTTGAACATTTCCCTATTTATCCTTCAGGGTCATAGGGGCACTGCTAGAGTTGAGCTGGAAAACATGGTGGAATGTATGCATTTCTGTAAATTTAATAAAATCCCCCCTGCCTAAATAAACCAAGTGTCACACTTCCATGCCTGTTTTTAATGGTGTAACAAATATGCTTGTTTCTGCAGAAAACCTGTGAACCTCACATGTGTGCGTACAAGCTTGTGACCATAGAGTTCATATGGTGGGGTCTACAGGGGATGGTGGAAAGCTGGGTTCTGAATGTAAGAAATGAAATACAGTATGATACGGTACTTGGTAAAGAGGGCAGTTTATTACTGTAAACAGAGCTTTCTTGGTAACTTTACAACGTTCTGCTTGTGCATACATAGAGCCAACGATTTTCCACAATCACAGAAAATAGACAGAATATGCAGAATTAACTCTTTGAAACAGAAATCACCGCTTGAAATGGAACTTGCAAACTTTCCCACTAAGAATGGTTTCAAAAGTAAAGAAAACTTTCCGCAAAGAACCATAAATAAATGCCTACCAAACCCTTTTAAAAGTTTGCTTTTAATTAACAAATTAAGCTGGAAACATGTCAAATTGCACCACTCCATCACATGATTGGGTCGTCCCTGCCGGTATCGATACTTGCAAGCGCTATGGCATCCGTGAGCCTGAACTTGCAGTGGCAGCCGGCACAGCGCAGCGGTGCAGTACGGTACGCACAGTAGCCATTCACACATGCACTGTACTAGCATTGAAATCAAAGCACAAGTTCATACTCACATATACCGTACCCCTATTGCATAGGTGGGGAATTCAGTCTGTGAATCTGCATGGAAACCTTGAGACAAGGCTAATACCACATGGTGAAATGTTGAAACCACGGCAACAAAGCGGAAGACTAGTTACATTTTTCTTGAATTAAACGAAACCCAGTACGCTTGGTGTACCTTAGCTGAATGGGCCCTCAGAAGTGTTCCATGAAGAGCAAGGCTTTCAGTCACAAACATGCATTTTAAGACTCAGATTCAATGTTGACTTGCTGAATTTTGTCAGACCACTGCCAAATAGAGTGGCGGGTCAATTTATTCAAATGTAATTTGATTTTATAAATGTGGAGTGACACATGAATTATCCGTTGATTAATCGTACAAGTTTTTGACGATCGCCCCTGTGAGAAATCAAGGGGTGGGGGATGCCGTAGGTATTGTGTAGATTTTTTTAAAAATTATCACTACAGAAAATGAAAAAAATGTGAACATTGCAGAGTACTTCCAAACAATATTTGTTTCTTTTCTGGTTTTTTTGGGGGGGAGTATGTTTGGGCAAATGGTTCCATGCATAGTTTAAACCTTGCTCTCCTTTTTCATGCTCACTTAGATATGAAACGGAATTTGAATTTCAGAAGTGGGATTTGGCAAAATGGAAAATACTCAGTTTTGAAATGGAAAATCATTGGCTCTACATTCACATACATTGTATTTTTGCTGTTTCATGGGCACCTAATATACACACAGACTGGCAATAAGGTCACTAGTGCATGTCTATATCACCAAGGGGCTGTGATTGACCAGAAGAGGGTCGAATTTCCCAAGGCTTTCGGCCTTATAACACACCTCAAACTAGAAAATATTCTTTCAGGGTTTTAACTGTTTCAATGCAACTTTAGATAGCACTTCAAAAATTGCCAAAAAAAGTGAAAGTTCATTTTAGTGTCCCTTGATGCAGTCTAATTTTGAGTTGCTATACACAACTAGGAAAAAATGGATCTTTCCCGTTAAATAGGCAAATTAGACAGGCGCATGTGGGCTAACCACCTCAGATTGGCAAGTGCGGCCGTCAATACTGTTGTCAGTGTAGGAGATCTACTGTAACCTGGGGCATTGAAAGTCAATCAAAACCATATTACAGCCTTTGTCTGATACTTCAGTGGGCTTTCTCAAAACTAAGTGACGTTTTCAGTGTTCTGAGGTTGGAAAGTAACAATTCCTTGTCTTTAAGTTTGGCACTCAGGTCAAAGTATACTAGCACGGAAACGGCGTATTGTGCTCATAGTAGGGCGCACATGGAGATTTGTATTTTTCCTCATAGATTTAAGCAACTTCGCCAACTAGTGGTATCAATGCGCATGCACCTGCCTTATTTGCATATTTCATGGGAGAGGTCCATTCTTCCAGGACTTTAGATGTTAAAATTCAACTTTTCATTCAATTCCACTTCAAAAATTACAAAAACTGAAGGTTCATTTTAGTTTTCATTGACGCAGTTTAATTTTGAGTCGCTGTATACAACTAGAAAAAGAAATCTTAAGGTTTTAACTGTTTCAATTCAACAACATTTTAAAATGAACCATAGCATTATGAACCATAATCCATCCAAGTTGTCAAGACTAGTGCTTGACCAGGCACTAGTCTTTGGAATTGATGCACTCGCAATGTTTAGGCATGTGTTGAATCACGCTGACACCAGATTCACGTAGTAGCCCATATTAATGAACTATACATGTATGTGAATGTATTTCCGCCATCCAGGATAACGAATCAGGAAGAGGTGTGTTATAAAACCTGTTATGCACCTAGGACTAGCAGTTCGGCCATTATTGCATGTATGTGTGAACCAAGGGAAAGCGAGTGACCGGAAGAGGGTCCTGTTTCCTGAAGCTGAAGGCCAGGGGAAAGTGGACCCTTTTCTGGTCATTCACAGACCGAGGATGCATGGATGTATGCTAGTGGCGGAACTATGCCAGTTCACATGTGTTTAATAATTCACCTCTGTTCAAAATGCAGCATAAGAACAGAAATTTTTCGGGGCTTTATAACTGAACTGTTTAGAACATTAACTCATAAATTATAAGGAACACTTCTTTAGTTTCCCTAGATTCATTTTCTGGTTTGCTGGTCGCTGTTGTTGTCATGTGAGGGCGCTGTAACCAGTCAAAATTTTTTGTCCTGGGCACCACACTCGTGATATCTTGGTGCATATCCAAGTTTTACTGACGCAAAGTTCAATTACTAGCATATGTTAGTGAAACTCACATGACTGCATTTCAGCCAACCAGTATAAAGAATCAGCAAGAGGTGTGCTATAATGTTTGGGAGGAGTTCTATATACGGATGCCAGCAATTCTTCCCTACATTGACGTACATGTAATAGCCATCAGAAAGCAAAATCGTGTCCAGAAAAGTTCAATTTAGGAGGAAGAACACTAAGTCGTTTACTAAGAAAACACACATTTCAGACCAGTCTCATAGGGTTTGTGCACAGGGTGTCAAGTGGCGTCCGTATATGGAACTCTTTCCTTATGCTTTGTAGGGGAGAATCAAATAACACAGGGTCTCAGATCAAGGATCAGGAGAAGAATGGGAAACTTTTGAGATGCTTTTTGATGAGCATACCATTCCCCCAGTGATGGCTCACTGTCTGCATCACATTTCATATGATATGTACATACTCAAAATGATGCAAGCCACAGTGGACACGTCACTCAGGACCAGTGTGTATGCTGCTAACATGTTCCTCAACAGTCTCCCACAACACTCCTTTTTGGACCTGCTATAGCCAGCATAACCTATGCTGTTACCTTTACAATGTACATGTAGCATGCTTGGCTGTTTGAAGTGAAGCTGTTCTCCAAGATTGACACATTTCAGTCCTTTTTACGTCAGGCTGCAGGTGAACTACCCTTGCCTGAAGATGTGAAGTATGGCGCATTTCATTCATTTGCTTTTTTGCTTGTTTTGGTACAACTCTACGCATGTAGGCTGAGAGAAGGGTCTTCACAAACTTCCACCGTCAGGTCTACTGCTGGATGGATAAATGGGCCGGTCTAACTATGGAAGATATCCGTGCCATAGAGGACAAAACAAAAAAGGAGCTGGAAGACGTAAGACTCGCCCCCTCCTTCCTTCATGCAGTGTTGTAGTCGAGACCACTTTAAGACCATCAAAGACCAAAACAAGACCTCTAGTCTGACTTCAAGTCACAAGCTACTCATATGAACTGCGACAAGCACTCCGTTGTCATTATTCAGTTGTTACTTGTGGCGAGTCGTGTGACTGGTCAAGCGTCTGGTCTTTTGATGGTCTTGACTACAATATTGCCCTCATGCAGTCCACTGGCTGGATTGTTTCAAATTGTATACATGTGTTGTACGTGACTCATCCTATATCTAAGAGTGTATTCCTATTGAAGTGGTGTGCATTTATAGGTAGTCCAGGTACCCTATTGAAGTAAAACATGGCGCCATAGGGTACCATGAGAAAAAAAAACAACCCCCCCAAAAAAATCAGAGAATTTGTGAAAAATACATTCAAATTACCATTTGTGTCTAACCCAAATGCTCCATAACAGTCTTTGCACATAAACTTTGAGTATTTATGTTTTCAGTGTAGCCTGCTTTTTATTGTACAATTTCAAAAGTTCCAAGTAATCTGTTAAGTTGGTTATAAGTACGCAGTCATAATTCTGAATCAGTTCTGATAAGAACAATCGAGGAACATCAATTGAGGAAGATCGATGTCGTTCCCAGGGAGTCGAGCAATACCATCCCACCGCTATCTGTACCTTCCCCTGGTTTTAGATCATTTGCATAAAATGTGGATATGTATGTTAATGAGGAATAGTCTGGTGCCGGACCTTGCTTTTTCAGTCAGTATTTAATTTATTGTGCGGTGTCTGGTATTAAAGATAGAGTTCATATTTGTAGCATGTTGTATTGGAGAACTTGTTTTCCATAGATACACAGTCAAAATCTTACCCAACCAATATGCATTACTGTGGAACGTCGCTATACCGAACACGACTATACCGAACGTTCGGCTGTACCAAACATTGTCCTTCTCTCCCAATATTGTGTGCACAAAACTTACCGAACATTATGCAGTTGCAAATCAACCAAGATATGCCACAGCATGCATCAGAGATCAATCCGGAGCAGTAGCTTCACGGCTTTTAGGATAAACTAAATATCAATTTTGTAACTCAGATTTAATAAAAACAAAAATAATTAACAGACACATTTCTAGAAAGCTCAAGCGTGAATGCAACGTCAAAACGTCACAAAAACAGCGAATCATAGTATCACAAGAGGGTGCACTTTTGGCTTGTGACTTGATCATGATGGAGCAAGTCTCTCTGCTTGCCATGGGCCTGTTTGTTTCACACTGATCTGAATTTGAATTATTGATCACTAGATCGGGATCCGTGTGAATCCAACAGGTCTGATACTGTGAGAAGCTGCACAAATCCAGCCATAGATTATTTCCTTTTTTTACTGGTAAAGATTTTTCTGTTCACTCTCCACATGCAATCAAGTCTTGGTGTAATGTTTGAATGGTGTGCAAATGTTTGTGTGCGCTATAGCCATTACGTCCTTTTGTTTTGTCTCATTTTACTTTGCCTTCCATCTTGAATGTAGAAAATGTCTTCCTCGTTACAGTTGTGAATAATTGTAACTCAGCCTTCTTGTAACCTCCATCATCATTTCACATTCTGTGGAATTTCACAAATTTCTCTCTGAATTTCATCCGTAGTTGCGACTCAAAGGAGAGTTGAAGGGAACCGTAGAAAAGTGATTACCAGCTGCCTGCGGATGACTCCTCATTCCGAGTCAAAAGTGGATGTGAGTGTGGATTGGTAACCTGAGAACCTCCGCATTTCACAATAATTAACCATGTTTTTAGTGATTGAAATAGCCTCTTTTCAAGTCTCCCTTTTTGCTGTATGACTGTTGATCATAGTAAAATGTCAAATCTGTACAAATGCCAGCCAATAACTTCTCTGTGTAAATTTTTTCCATTTTGGAAGCTTTGGAGTAATACAATTTTATTGAGTTGTTTTGTGTTTATAATTCCAGTGCTGTTATTAATTTTTGCCGAGTACAAATTGCAGTTTTGAAAAAAAATTCTTGAATATGGGTTCAATGACCTTCAAGCGGTTACAATCAGTGTATTTTGATGAGAACACTTGAAGGAAAAAGTACTCTAGTAAAGTGTCCGAGGACTGTAGGTTTCCTCATGCTATTGTGTACTTTTTCCTCTCACACTTCTCACTTGTACGCAACTCCAGTCCACGGTAGATTGTAAAGTTAGTTTTCATCATAACATGGTTGCTTGGACTGGCTAAGTAACCTTGTTGTAACCGGAACTTGCGAATGAAACGTTAAAAATAAGACAAACAGAGATACATGTATTGGGAGCATCAGAAGTTACTCTTCTAATATTGCACTTTATGTAAGAGTTGACCATGTTCATTTATCAGGCTCATATGTGTTTTTTAACTGTCTCTGAAGTTTGTGACTCCAGTTGAGTAATTTCAAAGAAGTTGCTCAAGCCGAATCAAGTCACTTATAAGTAAGGGGCTTCAGCTGAGTCATTACGTCACTGTGGATAAGTCAAGCCAGATTTATGTCTAAGTCTGTTCCATTCACTGATGTTTCAATACCATCTGATAAAGTAACCTGAGAGAGGGTGGCTGATATGAGAATAGGCTGTTATATTTGTTGGTGGAGTAGAAGGAACCAATGCAAACAGGGCACCAGTGTTCATGACAATACCAAGAATGAAATTTGCTCCATCTTACCCTATGGATGATCTCGGCTGGACATTTCTACCAGAATTCTACGTCACAAGTCGCAGAAAGTGAACCTTCTGTGGATTGACTTCAGGTTTGGGGTCCTTTTTACTCCGACACTAAAAAAACAAGTTGTCACCTTTAAAAAATAATTTTTGACTACACAGAAGGTATTTAAATTTTCTAGAGTAGGACATAAGTTCATTCAGAATTCCATCAAGGGCATCAGAAATCGCTCAAATGCAGCACACAAAACAAATGGGGCACTGTCTTAAAAGTTTAGTTCTTTGATATTGGTATTGGACTTCATTACAATGCCACAAGATGGGAATACATTGATGTTTGTGGCTCCCACTTGATGATAACGTGAAGTGTGCGTACTCAGGCATTACAATAACTTTACCACAGTCACATTTGTGCACAGTCTTGATTGGAGACTGGAGCAAGTTCTGAACCTTTCACTCGAACCTTTCGGTGAGGAACTTCGAGTCAAGCGATTGGCTTCCACTGACTCAGGCAAAGTCAGTTACCCCAAGCTGAGTTTGCTTCGTGAAGTTGAGTGGCTAAATATTAACTCCAGTTGACTTATACTTGAGTCATTGTGTCATTACAACTCTGCTCATACTTGACTGTACGTTTGTTGACCTCAAGAAGTACAAATGAACTGTGTGCTGCATGAATATTTGTAGGAATAACTGTTGGAGCTCTGTTGTGATCCAACAGAGAATGGTATTTATGATAGTAGGTAAAGTCACTGAGTTTAAGTCATTTTATTATCCAATTTAGAAAAAAAGCAATGGTGTCTGGTCAGCATTCCATTTTGGTCTTTTTTTTACACTTCTAAATTTTCAAGTTTTTAACAGCATGCCTGAAATGTTTCCTACTCAGAGTGCTTCATACATGTAGTGTGCAACTTGCTCAGTGTGTGGGGAGGTTTTGTTCCATTGAAGAATCTATGCATTTTTGTCCTTTCACACATGCATACCTGCTTTATTCAAATTTACTTTTAACGGTGTTGACTGGTATACTGCATAGACATAGACCTGTCATACATGGAGGATTTTGGACACAACTGAACCACATTCTTCGTTCCCCAGGAAAAGTAATTCATCCACAGAATTGGGGTTGAGATGAGAATAACTCACAGGGACTGATGAAACTCAAGTTTTTGCTCATTACTTTTATTAATGTTTGCAAGTTTATGACAGGACTCCAACAGCAACTGAATATCACCCCCCCCGTGTGCCTATAGGTGTACATGTAGTTGTAAATTTAGAATGTGTCTGTTGTTAATGTTCCTCAGGAATAGCACAAAGACTGCAGATGGATAATATTCAAAGTTTTGACAAGTAACAACATGGTGCACGGTTTTAATAATGATTACTTATGGCTCAGGCTACAGCAACCTTGGTCTAGTTCCTGTGTAACAATAACAAGTTGCTGCACGTTTTTGAAAGTGATGTTAACTAGACTATTCATTGTGTTGAAACTAAAGTAGAGCAAAATGATATGGCAATCTCCTGAACGTCCAAGTTAACCATTGAGAAATCGTGCAGTGGGAGAATCTGTTGGAACTGTCAGTGTTATCTCCTTTCATTATGTGTGTATTTAACAATCTGTCCAAGTGAGAGATATATGGAAAAAGTGCAGAGCTTGGTTTGCCGCTTTTATTAATGCACATGCCAGGTGGTTACAATATGAGTAAAAAAAATTCTTGAGATTTGTTTCATTTTCCAGTTTATTTTTACCCCCCCCCCCGGAGACGGCCACATTTTGATCTTTCATGGTTGTAAACACAAGCCACAGTATGCGGAAGTAGTGATGTGCAGTCAAGATGTCTGTCTTCTGTAAATGATACATATAGAATGGGGATAGAAGGTGAGCTTGAACATGCGCATCCGGTTTAAATATCACGAGCTGTAATGTGTAACTAGCCCCCAGCCATTCATGTTATCGCTGGAATTGACTAAAATTGGAGAACATTTCCAGTTGATTCCCGTGCACTTGGCAGTTTAACCACTGAATTTATTATCTTGAATTTTTAATGAAGTGATGATAAGTTGACGTATAAACGTGGACAGCAACTTGTCTTGAGTACTGCACATTCACCAGAGCCCGCTCAGAACAAAGGAAGATTTGGATTGCTTGCAAGTTGGATACAACTCCACTGCCGGCCAATCAGAGCAGTGGTGAGGAAAGAGGCCAAGGTTGATTGGTCAGTAGCTGTCAGATGACTTCGTCACTCTGAGATAGACATCTGCTGATTGGTCGTCATTTGGAGGTCTTGCGTATCCATTCCAATACACTGTGAATTATTTACCTGAAGATAGCATGTAGTTTGAACAATTTAGCTCTCACTGTGGGGTCTTTATCAACATAGTCCTTGTTAAATTTACCAAAATTGTGTCTGAACTGCACAATTGTACCAAAAGTAAGAAATGAAAATAATTGTATTTAGATTTCAGGACCTAATCTTTAATCATCAACCTTTTTAATTTAAAGCAAGGAGAAGTGTCTTGGTGAAATGGCAGATTAACGGCAGAGTCTAGCGGAAAATTTGTTTAATTGAATTTCTTGTATATAAAGTCCACGTCTTAAGGGTGTAATACCAAACATTGGTGTGGTTGTGTGATGTGTGGGACGTGAAAGAGTTTTTCATATCGAAAGTGTAAACTTTAAAATCCGTATGCGTAAAATGTAATGTTACATCTAATCATGAAAGGCCTGTATGCAAGATTGTCCGTTAGAATATTGAACGTGATAATATCTGTCTCGTCAGTGAGCACAGATGTGCTAGGAGTAGTACTAGTGCGGAATTTAGTTTCAATGAAACCGTAGAACCATGTGAAACATCTGGATACATATTTACAGTGATACGTGACCGACAAAGATGCCTCAGGTTTTATCTTTGTTTGCTTACTGTGTGCATTTCATATGCACGCACCCGTGCATGTAGCGAGAAAGTGTTAAGTTCAGACACCGTTGTGTCAGCAAGGTTCAAGCAATATTGAAGTGTACGTGTGTATGTAGCTCCAGACGTTTCATGACGTCGTCCGTGCGTGTGCGCAGTTCAAGCTTGGTAGTGAGGGATGGGGGGCGCTTATCATGTTCCCTGCCATTCTTGGCAGCAAGAGACGTAGACGGCTTATTCTGCTTTGAAAGTTGCCCTGCCATGGAGGGACCGGGCGTTAGGGAGGAATATGTAAACAGTTAAAGTTCACTTACCCCTAATTTAGGTTCCACACAGCACCATGCAAGTGATGTATTTTATTTACACGGCTTGTTATTGGGTCAGTTCTTTGGCGAAGGTACGACCCTTAGGCCGCAAGTACAAAAGCAAAGGAATTATATACGTTAAATCTCAAGCAACTGTCTGAACACCAAATAATAAACACTGCTAAATAGAGTGAAAAGACATCCCTCGTTATAAGTAATGAACGAATGTACAGTGTAAAATATGTTTCACCAACCTAGGAAGATATTTTTTTCCTTGAACAAGACAAGCTTCATAACCAAAGTTGGAACCGAGTTAAGCCGGATATGCTAGGGTGGAAATTCTGGTGTGACATTGTGCCCGAAACAAAAATATCTCATTCAGCTTCAGTGGAATTAACATAATTTTAATTATCGTTACATTTATTGAATATAAAAATGTTTAGACGAGTGCAAACACCCTTTCTAGATGGTCTTTAAAATGCAGAATCCTGTTCCGGGCTATTTAAAAACATTTTAGGGGCAGCCTTAAATGTAGCCAGTAGACAAGTTCATGTATTAAGAATAAAAAATATTTTTAGATTATTTTTTGTTCGTGTATTATTGTCGTACGAACACTACTTAGTTTTTTTTTCTGTCGTTGGAAGTTACCTCTTACGTCGTAATCCCCGACTTCTCAAGTGTCTTGACTGTAAACGTGTCCAGAGCTGGAATGGAAAAGTGGTGTTACCATGTCAGCAAGAATTGCTTGTACGCATGGCATCAGCAACTTTGTAGTCGCATCCTGGCATCAATGTATTTTAACACTAGGTCTTATCATTTGGCGTAAATAGTCTTAAGAATTTTGTTATAATTGAAGAATGAATACTGTGATCCAATATCTCAAATAAAAGTGGAATATTTAAAGTGAAAGTCTATCGAGTCTGTGGTTGACACTGTCTTGTTAAGTTCATTCTGTTTTGCAGTATCGCTTGGTAGTTTGTTCGTTTGTTTTGGTTTAATACGCTCTTTAACATGATGTCGTGCATATGACAATCGTCAAAGGATTCGATGTCTGCATTGTGGGCATGTAGACAGGCGGATCTGGATGGGGGCAGCGTTTGTCTTTGATAAATGATTTGAAAATGCAATGTGTTGGACTGTTTTACGTTCCTTTCGCCCAAAAGCGTGTCAAAAACCGACAATGTAACTTTACCCCGCAGTAAGGTAATAATAGGATAATAGATATACATGTATATATTAGATATATATGATAGATACATGTACTTCCAATTTTTCAACCGTTTCCCCTCCAAAATCAATCCCTCTCCCCAAACGTGGTTCTGGATCCGCCCATACCTGTAGAACATGGCATAATTGTGGTACCGCACAGTATGCAATGGAATATTCAACCACTTCGCTGCCGAAAATTTACAAAATTGAAATCAAACAAAACCACTCTTTAAAATGACGGCCAGTGATGAAGAGAGAGCGACTACTGCATGTAAAGCAATAAAGGATAATAATAAATGTAGAGGTTTTCACGGCCGATTTGGAATTTTATTTCCCATTGCTTTCCACTCATTCCATTTTCACCGTTAAGTGGTTTTAAAGCATAAAAGATTCGAGATTTGAGAAGAAAAACAGAACAAATATAATGATATAATTATAAAATATAATAATTTTCTTTTAGTCGAAATTACTTGGAGTGAAAGTCTATGAAGATGGATTTGGGAAGAAAACTGAAACAAACGCAAGTTGGAGTTTTAAAGGAGAAATTACATAAGGAAAGGATCAATTCTACAACGCACATAAGTCTATTCAAGTTTTGCTTCCTTTTTTTTTCAAATTCCGACATGATCTGAAGACTTCAAGGATTAATTAAAAATGTATAAAGCAGTATGTGATGATCTTTAAGACCAACAACAGCCCAACAAAACTCATACACACTGTCCTTGATCTAATCAGCCAAGGGCTCAGATACTTTGCTAAAGAAAGGGGCACCAAGTCTTTGTTCTATTAGGAAAAATGACCACATGCATGGCGCAAATCTCCTGTGTGGGAGAACCATTTAAAAAGTGACTTTGATGCGCGACGCTCTTGAATCGTATCTGGGCTTACATGTAGGTACTTCAGTCTGTCAGTTTACATTAGCGAATCATTGTACACTAGAATTGTTCTCCCGAAAACGATTTCCATATCTACCTAATAACCATGGAACCGTGAACCACCCAGATATACGTTAAACTGTGTAGCAGCATGAATAGCAAACATTTTTGCACTATACATAGACCTGTGAATGCGTTTCTTGCATAATTACAAAGTGGATCATTTCGTTATAGGATAGCTTTCTTGGTATACCCAAGAATACATAAAAATGGCGAATATCTCTTTTGTCTTGCCCTTGCAGGATTACATATAGTATTACAATTTACATTCGAGTGGCATATTACAGTGGCAGCTAGACTGTAAACCCTTATCTAATTCACATTATTTCAGGATAAAAATAATATTGGACTGCATAATGTAAAGACCAATACAAGTATATGCATATGTGCATACGTAATTTTACCATATACATGTCATTTTATATATACAACACCTTATAGAAATCTTGGCGTTTGAATGTGAAACGTGGAATGCCAGGTAAGAAGATCAATCAGCTTGAACCGACAAATTCCACTGAATTCATGACAGGAGATTTATATTTAGGCCTAGGGCATTGCTATATGCCTCTTAGGCACACTGGCAGAATAGGTTAATCCTCATTTAATAGCTATCCCTGAAGACCAGAGAGAGTGCAAAATCACAGTTTCCCTGACTTACACATGTTGTACATTTTCCTCGATTTGGTTTGATTCTTTTATTTTGATGTAAGGTCGTGCCAGAAACGAGCATTGTTGTCCACGGCTTGGAACGACGCGTCGTGTGTGTACGTGTACGAAATTCATGGTAAGAAGGCGACGGTGCGACGCAACGATGGGACGCGACGGCTCGACGCAAGAGAGCTGTCGTGCCGTCGCGTCGTGAAGTTACGTCGTCTTAGGAATTGAGGCAGAAATGTGTGTTGTAAATAGTACACCATAAAGCCTCACTTTGGCAACAGATCTTCAGAAGACAGTAAAATACATTCTCTCCCAGTAAAATCAAATGTCTGTCAGACAGCAAATCAACACTTTCCCAGCCCCTACACGCAGAAAGTCATCCGAAGGAGGTCCACACAAAAAAGAAAGCGGCAGCGCGCACCTAGGCGAAGGAGCTAGGTGCAGGCGAAGGACTCCGGGAGGAACGCCGCATTCGATCTGCTCTCTCCGACCTAAATGACCTCCGCGGAGCATGAGGGGAAGGGGGACGCAGTGATGTGGCTGTGGCGGCCTTCTCGATGACCAAGTCTTCGTCGCTCCCATGGTGTACGGCAATGTCAGGTGGAGGTGATACCACACCAGCTTGTCCAAAAGCCAGTTGTTTGGGCGTCCTGCGCAAAAGGAACAGACAAATTCTTTGCTTTCAAATTGAAGCCACAAGGGTTGGTTAAAAATTTGCTCAACGTTGGTCAAATATCAACTGCTAACACTTTCTGGTAACTTCATTCCCAAACTTTGGTATGATGTATGACAAAATTGAGGTGATTTCATATCACATATCGGGCATCCATATTTCATTTCATTCGGAAATTTGGTTGGACTTTGTGAAAAGAACAATTTGTTGGTTACATTTTAAATGACGACTGCAGCACTCTAATTTGTTAAACTTTTCGGCAATAGAAGTACTTTTCCACAGCATACGAACAGTGTGAAAATATTATCAACCGGAAAATTTGAAGTTATATTCTCATTGTTATTTGGGTTTCAAAATCAAGTTTCACTTCCTGCAAGCTAGATTTGAAAATCCGACGAAAAAAAAGGAAAGGAAATTGGGATTTGTGACCATTTCCAGACCTCCAGTGTGGGATACAGTGTGGTGCACATTGATTTGACTGGCGTCGGTTCGGCGTGAAATACGCAGTACCAATTTCCATCTCAATGCGCTCGAATGCCGAGAGAGAGAGGCGAAATTGTAGAAATAGGAATTGTGTTAATTTATTCCATCTTGGTGCATCTGGTCTGGATTGTTAGACAGAGGAGGATAGCGCCAAACGACACCGTTTGGGAACACACTGGGTGTGTTATCCGCATACTCATTTGTACAGTACTTAAGTTTCGAACTGTTCTTACTTTGTTCTTTGGATGACACAAACGCTGAAGAGTTTCGACAGGATGATGGCGCCGACGGCCACTCCAGCCGAGATGTAGATGACGTATTCTGTGGAAAGTAAATATACACATGCAATACCGAGCAAAATATGGTAGGCACTGTGGAAGATTACACACGCTAATATACGGCAAAAGTTGACTGCTTTCCTAATTCGGTATATGAAAGTGGAGAGTGGTCATCAAAAGGCTTACCGTTTGGTACGCAGTCCACATTAACACATTCATCGACATCGACAGTCTCTGATGCATTGCAGGGAATGTGCTGAATGACGAGCGCTTTGCTGCAGTCGTGTTCCAATTGAACGCCGTCCTGTCCCCGGTACAGACAGGTGATGGCCCGTGTGCCCAGCCCCACTGGCCAGGCGAAAGCGTTCCGCTCAGCAAAACCGTAGGCAATGGCGACGAAGCTTTCCCTGCCCTGCGCTGCTGGGCCAATGTCGTGCACCCCGTGGGTGAGATACAAACCCACGCCGCAGTAGGCAGAGCTGTCTATCCGTACGATCCGATCTGCCGGTACGATGTCACGAAGGACCATGCCATCCATCGTTAAATTCCCATAGTACATTTCGGTACACGGGGCATAGATATTGACGTAGTTTTGCACCGTCTGGAGGACTTTGGTCGTGTTATAGGTTGGCAACCAAGCCGTTTGGATGCTCTGCTCCATAGGTGGAACGATGGTCATAGCAGGATCTCCAATGACATTGTCAGCATGAAGTCCTTTAGCGTACTGTACAACCTGAACGGGGTTGTTTGACTCAACGAAGTCACTCTGGCCGACACCAACTTCGAACTCCAGGTACTGTTCCTTCTGCAGTCGCATCATCTTTGAATTCACAGTGATCTCCGTATTGTCACGGCCGCTGATGACTCGGTAGATTACACCCGTGGACCGACCAAGAAATGGCATGACGACAAACTGCCGTCCCCATTGGCTGAACGGAGGCAGCATCTCCATGAGGTGGTCAAAGGAGTCGACATCAACAGGGACACGTGTGCAGCGATTACCCGATAACACGGCAATAGGATGATTGGACCGGACCCTTGTTCCCGTCAAATCCGTTCCGCCTCTCAGTAGCGTAGCATCGTAGCCCTTGGCGTCGATCAAGATGATGTTGCCTCCCTCCACCTCACGATTCTTGTATGTGACGGTATTCGACAGTTCAACCTCCACTTCGGTATTGTCCTTAGTGGCCACGATAACGATCTGTGACTGAAAGAGTGGAGTATAGGAAGCCACAAAGTACTCGGTGCCTAACGAACTGACTGGCAAGACTGTGAAACCATCCATGGAATATTCGTGAGCATCGTTGATAGCGTAGACAGTCACAGAATCGTTGGCCTGGACTATGATTGCGACCATGTCAAAATCAGGGCTGACTGGGACGAGTTCCCTAGGTAAGGTGACTTGCTCTGAGTTGCCCCAACCCTGCAGTGTAACGGTCTTGATAAGACCGTGCACAGGCGTTGTGATGGTGATAGCGACGACAGCATGGTCCAGGGGAGACATGTTGGTAACAATAACCGAAGGGTCAGCATTGGGCCGGTAGTTCTCAGCATAGGCGAAGATGAACTTCTGGCCGACATTATTTTGCACTGGAAATTTAAATCAACACAAACGTAATTAGGACATGCGGAAGATTTGTTGAAGCATTTGACAATGGCATAGGGACGGTATAGGGGTTCTGGTTTGGGACTTTAAATGACAATGACAAAAATTCAAACAAGGGCCAATCGGTTCAAAATTGCCTATAGACTTTAACCCTGGTAATCTATCATGAGCTCTCCATGAGGGCTTAGGGAGGGGTATAGATGTCACAACCTGAATGTGCACACCCCCTCCCTTCTAAAGTGTTCTAAAGCGACACCCGTACTGGGGTCAGTCAATTTTCTCTTGAACAACTTACCAGGAACTTTCGACAAGCTCAAATGGACCATGAGATGCCAACATGAAAGGCTTAGTTGATCTTTAACATTGTAACATACCTCTTTACATCAGATTTGAAAAAAAAACACGCACAAAAAAAACTTGGTCTGGTGGACATCAAGTATGGTATTTCCAAGTTCAAATCCACAAGCACTTTTGACATTTATCTGAAGTAGTGTCACTTATAGTGACACATTATCCGTGAATGAGCGGGAGATGACCAGACGTCACACCTGTATGTGTGTGTATAGGCGCAGTGTGTAAACACAAACACCTGTCTCTCACTTGACCTCGTTCGAAGCAGAGTACCGGTACCGTCACTCACCATAGTTTGTGTGCTTCTGCACCAGTGATTTCCGTCAAATTGAAGATCAATGTGGTACGATTTCTGGTATATGTAATCTGGTATGTTTCTGGCTTCTTCCCTTCTGAAGACGACCAGATATAATGGTCGCAACGCCAATATCCAACCTCTTGACTGTAGCAGGGGCACTGTAGTCTTCTTTAACGATTGAACACACTCGTTTTACTTTGAAGACAAGTTTAGAAACTATACATTACGTTTTCAGTACTCAAACTCCAGTCAAAACTCTGATGGTCAGTATTTGAGTGACTAGACCCAATTTAGACAGCAAGAAAGTGGTGCAAATAAGTGTTTCATTGCCTTAAAAATTATTTTGCAGATTTTAACGAAGTCAACGAATTTGCGTCTGTATTAAAAGGCACAGTCCCGTGGGACTGTGGTAGCTCTCTCTCTCTCTCTTTTCTGAATGACATGTCTGCGTTTACGTATACAATTTGATGATAAATGTATGTCATTACTGTGAGCACTCTTACCTTCAGCCATGCAATCACCAATGGAGTTTCCCCTCACCAGGAACAGCAGCGTTAAGATTAACAGTACCATCGTTCCTTGTGTCTCACTGATCAATCTTGCATTCTAAACATGGGTGAAGTTGGAATTAGGATGGATACAGAATTGACGATTCTCTCTCTTCCAGTTGCGTGCAGACGTATGTTAGACTCGCCTGGCCTCGGATTTCACAGCAAAAGAGTTCAATTGGGCTGTCTTACAGTTTGCCTAATGATGCGTTCTCGCTTGTATTGTGAATTTTGGTTTTCACCGTGCTCCTGTGCCGAGGACGGCAGACGAGGTCACCCTTTTTTATTTCCTTGCCTTGAATATGCCAGTGAATGGTAGAGTAAAGGCTAAATGCAAACTAGAGGCTCTTATTTCTGCGTTCAGTGAATTAACACCGTGACGGTTTATAATTGCATGTCCGTCACAGTGATAGTCCATGCCATCTGCTCGTTGAATAACATACCGAAACTCCGCCCTGACTCCCAATCGTGACCGTCAAGTTTTTATTGCGAAATTCCATAAGCACGCAACGCAGTGCAGGGACGGATTGTCCAACAAGCGCAGTTGGCACTCTGCTTTGGGCCTGCGGAAGCTTTGGGAACCTACGAAAAATGAGAGTCTGTGCGAGAAAGAATGTGTACTTTGACAAAGCTATGGACAAAGTGTATGCTTATTAGATCAGTGCAATGCGTCTTTCTTAGAATCACTTTTTGTGCATGTTCAAACGCTTTTCCGATGTATGAAAACGGTCTGAAATCTTTTTAGGGTTAAGTGAACTGTAAAGTGCAATTTTTAAACTTTCAAAATTGAACAAGGTTTTCCAGACAAGCGAGGGCGTTAGGGCGTTCAGTTTGCATGTTTTCATGTTCAAATTCTAAACCTGAGTTTGCTCTTTAAAAACATTTCTGCAAAACGATTTCTCGCTGGCTAATTGCCATACATTACACATTAAAATAACAATAAATTGCCAAAGGAAATGGAAATCTTCGATAGCGAAATGTAAAAATCTAGACATTTTTTGTGCACAAATCAATAAATATTTAGTGCCTCGGATTACGTCACAGTTTGTTCATGAATACTACAATTCATATTAGCACAAAACAAAGAGGCCCAAAATACAGACTGAAAAAGTTTACAATGCTTTTGCCGATCACAATGCGTACGGTGATTGGATTGCTGGCCTTCAAGTTACCGGAGGTTGTTCAGCGGCCATTTTAATTTGGGATATTCAAAATATTTGGCGTGTGTGATCGTGACACGTATGTTTCCTTCCCCAGCTTAGTTTTGCTTATTGTTCAGGATCATGCACTGGAATGCCAGTGAGCTTTTGTGATAGAAACGAGACGTTTGATGGATTATTTTGTGAGTCAATGATCTTATGTAATTAAAATTACAGTGGAAGCAGTGGAAATTCATTTCCTCTCTTCGTGCAAACCAAATCAAGATACTCTTGCAATCGGGGTTTCACAAGAATGAGAAANAAGGCCATCCTGATATGGTCATTACCTTGCAAACATTTTTAAGCCAGATTCACGAACTTGATAGTAAGGTTCATTGCAATACATTGCTTAACCGAAAGTCCAGTTGATATTCGAATAGTGTAGAATTTAGTAGGGTTTAATGGTGTCGATAAAAACCAGTTTATGATATGTCAAGGAACGATACTCACTTCTAATGACGCTGTTGCATGAAATGGCTCAACGTCTTTGCACTTTGGCATATATCATGTGTATTACAACTTGAACGTCCATTGCAAATATGTATGTAGGGTTTATCTTCAGGATATCCCCACAACAAGAAATATTTTTAACAGTTTCTGTTGTACTCTTTGTTGCACAAGTATAGAATACTGGTTATCCGCCCTTCCCTCTTTTAATAAAAATTAATAAAAATTCGAAGCCGTGTCGCAGGATACAGGACCGGATTATGGCTACGCCTTTCATGCGCATACCAAAGATAGCACCGCGATTCACCGGCAGTCTACATGTAGTACGACGCTGGATGACGACCGACGCTGGGTACGTGGTGAGCAGCCCACATTGCCCATTTCCACATCGCCCCATCTCCACTTCGCCCCATCCCACATTGCCCAGTCCCTGCTTGAGTATGCTGCAAGCCTCTTAACCTCTCCCTGCCGGGGACTCCGAAATTGGAGCCGTATGGTTTATATGCGTGGCTGGGGTCTCCGAACTCGGACAAAGGAAACAGGGACCTGTAACAAAAGACCGTACTCCGAACAAAAGACCAGGCTGCTGGGCATTACCGGCATTTTTCACTCTCAAAAGTGGTGATAATCCAGCGTTGCCTTTTGAAACCGTATACCAGGGTTTGGGGTATTGAGAGCAAACGGATTACCACCGAGGACAAAAGCGCTCCACCACCGCAGCGATGAGCCACGCAGTACCGCTGCACGCTAATCTGGCCCCTATTGAAAAGAGGTCAGCAGTGCGCTGAGCCAGGTTCGTGAACAAGATAGTTGCATAACACCGCACAATCTGGGCTCGGTTTACTAGGCTGCAGGCCTGGCCGAAATACTCGGGCGTCAATGAAGGTCACCTGTCAACTTAGAGCCTAAAGATTACTTCATATGCAGCAAGGTATGAGACGGAGAGAAGTCAGAGAACCCCCTGCTTTGTGTTGGTCATTGTCTTGCAGGAATCTGGGGAATTCCTTTCAGACATCTTGGGGGGGATGTTTTAAGTAACAATAGTCTGGAATGTGTATAGGGATTGGACATGTTGGGGGGTACCCCTAGCTCGGTCTCATTTCTTTCTGGGTATAGATTACTTCGTGCGGCTATAAACGACTGTTAAATGGAATGATGACTTTTTGAAGCATTTTGAAAACGGAAAAAATGATTGTCATGCCGGCCCAGCATCATCAACGTTGAAAAGTGCCCCGGCACGAAGTGGCTCTTAACATGGTCGAGAGAGGGAGTTCCACAAGCGACATCGAGTTACACATGTACATGTATAATTATAGAAAACTTTACTGCATTCACTAAATTAATGTCGACTGCGTTGTCTGTGGTGAAATAATACATATGGTTGAACTAGTATAGGGTTTATTCTCATCCTTCTCAAGTTTATTTCAAAGCAAAACACAATTCTGTACACATAGTTCTGGTAATTGTCAACGTATCCAGTCACGTACATATTACATACATGTACGGTCGCCGCGGAATAAATAAACTGGTTGCCACACTCCATCACGCATTCACTTACATGGGTGCGGCGCGGCAGGAACCAGCGCTTTGCGCACGCGTTTTTACCACCGCGACAGCGAAAAAGGAAGAGATCTCGTGAAATTAACAGAAGTTGCTTTTCAAATGTTGCAAATGTAACTGGGAAAACATGTAAACACAAGAGTTAAAATGAGAAAAATATCGTTCTGAGGTGTTTGTGAAGACAGTTAAGATTACATGGTTTATTCATTTGTCTTTCTTATATTCATTAAATTTGTTTTTTTAACTTGCCAATTATAATATTATTGTCTCGCCGAAAGCTTTGGGTCGGTCAGGAAATAAGCATTGTTTTGGCCTTTGCAGATTCTCTGACCGTTATTTGGGTACTCAAACGTCGATGTTTTTATTTGTTGTATTTAGGCCTATGCCTCTGTTACTAAAGAACAGAATGAATGATAGTCGGTGGGGTAAAGTGGGAATGGGGGGGGGGGAGTGGAGATGAGGCGAAGTGACCGACACCCGTCGTAGGCTGAGGCGACGGAAAAACTAGCCTTTGATCAAGGTGCCCGAGGCGAAATAGATAGTCGTTCAAGAGCAAGGCAAGGATCCGGAGGAGACTAGTTTAAGTACGAAACCAACGCACGGAAAAAGACTACACGACGAACCGCACGTACGCACGGCCCGCACGCTTATGGGCCTTTTTCCAATACTCGACTTGGACTCCGCCGCAGGCTTCGTTCCCAAAACCAATCCCCGATTGTGGGCCTGAAGCGTTTAAATTAAATCGTATTACTGTAATTTCTGGCTCTCTTGCATCTTATTTGATGTTTTGTGGCAATATTAACTGGTTTGAAAGGTTTGTATAAATTCAAAGATGCTGTCAAAGGTAGAGCGTTGCATCCTGTCCTCACTTTTTTCTTCTTATAAATAACAGATCAATAAAGGTCAGTCAGTGCTGAAATGCTAGGACATGTATCTTTGATTGGGGAGTTTAGGGTTTTTTTCTTAGTATAAATTTAATGATACATGTACATGTTGCTCTGTGGCATTTTTTAAAACAAACTCAGAATGTACATGTACATGTAATGCATAACGCTTGCTGGCTTAGTATACAGATTTTTTTCCATGTCCAGATTTTTAAATTTTTGCTATGCACAATGAGTTTATCCGATAATTCTGATGAAATTCGAAAATATGGATAATTGCATGTTTTCGAGAGAGTAAACTACGAGTGGCAATTCATATGTGCATGTTAACTTGCCATGGTGTAGATGTCTGCATTAAGTTGATGGTACAGCGTGCACTTTTGCTGTGTATGCTAGTACATGTAAAAAGTCTTGAAATGTTAGTATTTGTAATGGAGACAGAATGATAATCAGAGATAAGCCAATGTGTACAGTATTCAGTGCTGTAAATAAGCAGAAGTGTATTTGCCAAACACTTTTGCTAATTCAAGCATGTTTGTCAATTGTATGCATTTATATCTTTCATGTATTCTACTTTGTATACACAGGGTTCTATTTTATGCCAACTTATTGCCATAAAACTTACAGTCTACCAAAGTTATTAAACACTTCACACATTTCATTTTTTTCATATTCTCTAATTTATTTTTATGTGTTTACTTTACGTGCAAATTAACTACACTGGCATTATTTACAAATGTATAAATGATGGAAATGTGTGGCATGTACACATACATTTGATTTTTTACAACTATCGACTGAACTCATTCCTGTGGTAACTGTGAATTATTAAGGCAGAGTTTACCTCCAGAACAGTGCATGCATGTGCAATGGTACATGTATTTTATTTAAGTGCCGCATTTGTATCTTGGGTAAACAAATGAGATTTTAATGGTAACCTTTCGTATCAACTCGTTCCTGTGGTAAATGTGTACTACTAAGGCAGTGTTCACCTCCAGAATGGTGCATGCAATTTTTTTTATGTCACTGCATTTGAGCAGGGCTTTTTGTATTTGAAAGAAATGTAACTTGGGTAATCAATGGGTAATCAAATGAGATGTTGATTTTAATTTTAAGTTTTTGTAAACCATTTGTGTGTGCCTTCTTTTGTTCATAACTTGAGTGTAACTTTGGCATGGTGGCATGTGTGTTTTTAATGTGGTGCCAGTATTACTGATGTGGTATTTTTTAACTTTATTTTAAAAAAGTTTACATGACTTAATAAAAAAAATCCTGAAAATGTTGCCTTGTATATTTTGCAGTTTTATGTTGAACTCATAATGAATCACAGAACTCCCTTTCCCCCATCTACTCGCTTAAAACTCATTCATTTTTGTTTAGTGTTGTCACCAAACTTGTGTAGAATGAAGAGAAAGATTTAACTTGAAATTACCAAAAAATAGTGCAAAGCAATACAAACAATATTCAATTCCAAAATG